GTTTGCCATTTTAATGTATTAAGCAAGAAGTTGTGATTTCTTATCTTGAATAGATTGAGGAGTGAATGAGTAGTGACTTTCAAATATGTGAATAAAATTATGGCAACCCTTCCCATATGTCTGCTGAGTTAAATGAATTATGATGACAAGGATTTATACGGGTTATAAAAAATTCTGCAATAAGGACAGATATATAGAGAATCTAGAAATAGTCTGTACTTTAATACCTTCTATTCAAATTAAAAAAAATCAGTAAAGAGGAAGACATTTTAAATGATTGGAGACTTCTAAAATTGATTTCTTATAATTATTAATATTTGAGAGTCATATGAATCCCTGAAAATTTTCCCTCAGATTCATGTAAATATGGAGACAGATTTTTCTGTTAATAAAATGTGTGCTCTGGGAAGAAAATGAGAGCATTAAATCTCTCAAGCCCATAACGGCCACTCAAGGAGACTATGGAAAGCTTAGCATAAAGCCGTAATTATACCGTAGCTTCTGAATCAGAATTTACATTCACTAACCGCTATATTCTCAAGTTGTAAGCAAATTTAAAATTTTTACCTACCACCCTTCCAAGCAGACATTAAAAAGAAGGAAATTTTTGTTGACAAAATCAATACAGATAAAAATTACACCAAGTTCAAAAATATTAATGCACTAACAAAGAATACTTGAATCCCTATTTACTAAAACCCAATTGGTAAGAGTGACAATGTATAGACTTTGGATGTGTAAATTAGCATAAGTTTAAGTCCTCTAAGACTGAATTATAATCTACTGAACTGTGAGTAAATACTAGTGTAATTTTATTACTTACTCTATTTTTCCTGTTTTATTTGTGTTGAAACTCTTGAATAGATTATTAACTTGATAAATAATATTAAAATGTTCTATTCTGCATTACTAAGCAAATTATTTCATATGTAGGAGAAAACCAACCCTCTAGTGGATTTGCTCACTTTTTTAAGGTTAGAAATATTATAACTAAGTTTTCAAGTTCTCAGTCAGTAATTCATGGTTTTAAAGAGGTATTGTCATTCTGATTGATTTTTTAATGTATGTATGTATTAATCAATTCATTCAACTATTTGTTTGTTTGTATACTCATTTATTCAACAAATACTGTAAGTCACTAGAGACATTCTAGTAGGTGCTTCATAACAAAATATTTTTTTATGAGGAGTGAATTCTGTTCTGTTCTTGTCTGGGTTCAATTCTTCCTGTTTATTGGTACAATATCTAGTGGGATAAAAAATATGATGAATTTGCCCAGCCAGTGTGACTCAGTGGTTGAGCGTTGACCAAGGAACCAAGAGGTCATGGGTTTGATTCCCAGTCAGGGCACATGCCTAGGTTGCAACTCAACCCCCAATAGGGCGTGCAGGACGCAGGTGATAGGTGAGGTTTCTCTCTCTTAAAAAAAAAAATCAATAAAAAACATTTAAAAACATAATGAATTCCATTCAATGTAATGTGAGGCAACTGTGAGGTCCTGCCAGAATATTTTTGAATTTACATTCTAGTAGGGACAATATATATCCTAAAAAAAAAATCTTATAGTTTCATGCTTGGAGCTCCATTTTTTCAAGTATTTTAGTACATTAGTGATTAACAATAATTGGTGTGTGCATATGTGCGAACTACTTTGTCCTATGTACTTACTCTTTTATAAGTCTATATGATTTTCAAAATACACTGAGGGGAAAATGATTCTCTAAGTTGATCAAATATTAGAGCTTATCTTATCACTTCATTTTAGAGAAGAAGCAACTGGAACACAGAAAGATAAAGTGATTTTGTCAAATTCAAAGTCTCTGGCAGTACTTGAACTACAAACTACCTCTGTGGTAATTGGGCATGCTGCTAGAAATTAGAAAACTCTAGACTTCAGCTTCATTCACCTTTTTCCTGCCATTATTTTTACTTTTGCTGTGTGTGTCACAATAGGCTTTTAGGTACAAAATTATACCCATTCCTAGAAATATTTTTTGAGCCAAATTCAGTGTGGATACAAAGCTGAAATAAAAATCACATTCGCACTTTCGAATAATATCAATAATATTGAATTATTGAATCTAGTTATTTTCTAACGTAAGTGGAAAAGAATATATTGAATCAGAAACTCATGTTTTCAGATTTGTTCATTAAATCTACAGATACTTGAATGTCAAGAATGCAGAAGTTTAAGAAAGGACCTTAAACGTAATAAATACCTTTTCCCCCAGTGGACACAAGTAAATATAATCAACATATTACTGGTGTATTGTTTAAATTTCCAAAAAAAATGAATTTCTATAATTCTCAGTTATTATGAATATGATTGCTGAAGATACAGATTTGTAGATTGGTGGATTGGGGGTGTTTTGAGAGAATTTTAAAAAATAATGGGCCTGTAGTTAAGTAATATCTGCTTATGTCAACAAATGACCGACAAATGGCCAACATACTGCCCAACTTCTGCTGGCAGTGTTAAAAGTCTCAAGTGTTTCATGTCACTAGTACTATAAGAGATTTGAGTGCATGTAAACTATCATTATTTCATTATATTGTGCTACACTGGCATTGGAGTATTTTCCCATCACACTTTATTTTTAAATGTTTATTGGATAATACTTGACATATAAAAAGCATATTCAAAATATATTTATACACAATATGTAGTGCATTTATATTACAAAACACAATGAAATAAATGGACAAGACACCACCTAATTTAATAATTAGGACTTTTAAATAATTCATTATATTGTGCTACACTGGCATTGGTGTATGTTCCCATCACACTTTATTTTTAAATGTTTATTGGGTAATACTTGACATATAAAAAGCATATTCAAAATATATTTATACACAATATGTAGTGCATTTATATTACAAAACACAATGAAATAAACGGACAAGACACTACCTAATTTAATAATTAGGACTTTTAAATAATCTTCATTTACCTTTGCACAACTTTCTTATCCCACCTCCCTGTTTCCTCTACCCACTGACAATAACCACCATTTTGAGGTTTTCATTCCCTTCTTTAAATACAGTTTTATCACTTATGTATGTCTTCTTAAGAACATACTACTTAGATTTGCTAGTTTTGAGCTTTTACATGAATTTAATTCTATGACTTGCTTTTTTTTTCAATCAATACCATGCTTTTAAGATTTATTCAGCTGTGAGCTATAACCTGCTCTTACCAGTTGGGAGTCCTCGCTGCTATTTCAGATTGGTTACTTGAATTCAACTTCAGTGGGAGCACATTATGGAAACCACCAATTTCTACAAATCAGGGCTTTCTCTTTTCAAAGAAACAGTTGGTAACATGCATTAGCATTCCACTAGTTTCATCCATCTTATGTGTAGTTGAAATGCATTCAGTTTCCTACAACATAACGATTCCACAACGTCTACCCATTTTCCTCTTCGGGAGCAATACTAAGAAGGGTTGTTCACATTTCATGGTACAAGACTTGTTCTGCTAAGATATTTTCTTAGAAGTGGAGGGCCTGGGTTTTAGATTATATAAATGTTCAAGATTTTAAGATAATGGGGAAGTTTCCAAAATTGTTTATGCCCACCTGTAGTGTATGACTTTTCTTTCATCTATGTCTTCACCAGCACTTGGTTTTGCCAAATTTTTTAATTAATGGCAAACAATTGGTTATAACACAGCACCCCTTTGTGGTCTTAATTTGCTTTCCCTTGGTTACCAGAACATTAAGCATCTTTCAAATGTTCATTGGCCAACTGTGTTTCTCCTCTTCCATGAAATGTCAATTCATACCTGTTGCTTATTTTTCTATTGTTTTTGATTTTTATTAAATTATAGATGTTCGGGGGATGGAGGGATTGAACAAAAAAATTGTAGATGTTCTTTATGTACGTAATCTGAATATTAATATTTGATCAGTTACAAATATATTTTAAATATATTTTCTTTGTGGAGTAGCTATTCACTTTTTATGGCATTCTTTGATGAACAGTTTCTAACTTTCTATAGTTGATTTTTTTATTTCATAGTTAAGATTTTTTCCATCTTGTTTAAGATGTCCTCCTCTATCCAGATGTAAAAAAAAAAAAATGTTTCTATTGTTTCTCTTTTAATTATCCCAGCTGGATGTCCAGCTGCTTCCTGCTAGAATACAGAACGGTGAAGCAGTGATGTACCTTTAATGCCACCGTAGTGACATTACACATGCTTAATTATTCAGCAACCATTTTGAAGTGCCCTGCCATGAACTTCATATGCTAAGCTAAGGAGTTTGAATTTTGTAATATAAAAAAAGAGGGGTGATATAAGCAGCTTTCTTTGTAAAAAAAAAAAAAAAGATAATGAGCTAAAGAGGGGTGAGATAGTACAAAGACTATTTGAGACAGTACAAACATGGCTGTTAAATTAGACAAAGAAAGAGGACAAACGCACAGACCAGGCAGCATCAGGGAAAATGAAGAGGAGGCTGCCTGGGAAAGGCAATTCTGAAGGCACACTGACATGATTTGAGAACAATTCAATATAAGGATGAGAGAGGGAACAAAATCAATATAATATTGACACTTCTGGTACGGAAGAATAAAGGGGTCCATGATGTGAGAATGGGAGTGAGCAATGTAAAGTACCCCAAACAAGCTGGCATTAGTGACACATTTTGGCAACAGCCAACATATGGTTGGCCTGTTTGTACCCAAAACAGGCACAGACATTAAGAGCCTGCTCCTGAGAATCCATATTCTTTTGCCCTTAACCTCCCGATACCCATCCTGAAGGAGGGGTACACATATGACAGGCAGCTATGTAGGTATTGTGGGACTGAAAACTTACTCAAAGAATCCAGGATTATTTCATCTGGAGAAGGAAGTATTTGTGTCATCTCCTCTGTTCTTTCTGCCAAGTTGTCTCCTTGAAGTCTAAATAATTAAAAAATAATTAGAAATAATTAGAAGTGTGGAGTTCCATAGGGGATTGGTACTAAAATCAGACATGCTTCTTCAAAGGAGAAATAAAATTGTACCAAAGCCTTTGTAATATGGTGTTTTTGCTATACTACTCTTGAAAAGTCTTTCTTTTTTTCTCTCTCTCCTGTATACATGGGAAGGTTAGTTTAGGTAGAAACTGCTTTTCTTCTTGGCCTGACGGGAGGACGGTTTATAAGCAAATGTTTTGTCTGAAACTACAACAAGGGAGCGAGTGGAATAAAAACAAGAGCATATTCACCTGATTTCTGGGTCCAGGGGCATGAGAAGGGTTCCATTCTACACAGAAGTTTACCAAACACAATTCTCTAAATAAACCAAACCTGAGCGAAGGCCTGCAGATCGAGGTAAGTCTCAATAGTGGAAATAAAGATTCCTAATGCATGTGACTTCCCAGGCTCTTAGATACTGTGGCTTCTTCAGGAGAGGAAGGCTGTGTAGGTACTTTCATGACAGTATATTTCTGAGCCTTTCTATCCACATCTCTATGCTGAGAAAAATAGACTGTTTGAATTGCCTCAATTCAAACAGTCTGGGTTTATATTACACTGTGAACTACGCTATCAAAGGAGGTAGAGCGCATCAATAAATGTTGGAACTCTGTCCTAAGGACAACAGATTAAACTCTGCTAATGTTGGAGGACATTACATCAAACAATCCGGAGACTGGAGTTTTTATCAGTTCTCTTACTTTTTTCTTGTATTTAGCTGAAGGCAAATGCCCTCACTGAAGAATATGAATAAATGCATAACACATAGCATTAACATTTTAAAAAACCAAGTACATTTCATAACTGTACCACTCTTAAAAATTAAAATTTTCAACTATGTTATATCTTTGCTGTTGTATGCCCCAGTGGAATCATGTAATAATTTGCATTTGATATCTGCATATTCAAACATATGCATGTCTTTCTCTACCTTTTGTGTAATAATACACATTATAAATTATATTTTCATTTGTATTCCTATATTCAATTCTACATGTTTCTGTATATAGTATACATTTATACTTACATGTATTCCCTTCAATACACAAACACACATTTGCTAATACTGTAAATAAGTAACAGCTAATTAAAGAATTTTCAAGGGTAACTTCCTGACAGTTATAACATTTTTTGGCCAAATATGTATAATTTATACAGTTTTTAATTTTTCAATTATAGTTGATATTCAATATTATTCTTTATTTCATATATACAGCAAAGTGGTTAGAAAATAATGTACTTTACAGAGTGGTAGCCACCTGGTCTAATACCTATTTACTTCTATATTATTGACTATATTCCCTATGCTGTAATCTATGTCTCACTGACTATTCTGCAACTACCAATTTGTATTGCTTAATACCTTCATTTCTTTCACCCAGACCCCCAGTCCCCGCTTCTGATAGCTGTGAGTCTGTTCTCTGTGTCTATGAATCTGTTTCTATTTTGTTAATTTTGTTCATTAGATTCCACATATAAGTAAAACCATATGGTATTTGTCTTTCTCTGACTGGCTTATTTCACTCAGCATAATACCCTTGAATCCATCCATGCTGTCACAAAGGGTAAGAGTTCCTTCTTTCTTAAGCCTGCATAGTATTCCATTGTGTAAATGTACCACAGCTTTTTTTTCATGCAAAATTATATTTATACAATAATTATATATACATACACTGCAATATCAGACTTATCCAACATAGATATATTGAAGTAATTTGTAACTAGGGTTGAAATTTGATTATTTACTTAAACAGGCATCATTTGCATCAATGTTTTTATGTCAAAACATACAGAGTTAAATACCATAAAATAAAATGAAATATTTGAGTCCCACAAATAATTGCTGATGACTTTTTATGTACTAAGAAGATATATATGTCTCTCCTTCATCCCACCATTTATTACTTTCACCCTAATAGATTACTTATTTTCAAACAACATTTGCATCTCTGAATAAAAAGAATAAAATCCTCAAACAAATCTAAAACAAATATAACAAAGGAAGTGAAAAGGAATAAAAATATTTTTTGGTACCACAGCTTTTTTATCCACTCATTTACTGATGGGCTATTGTAAATACCACTGCAATAAACACAGGGATGCATATATTCTCTCAAATTAGTGTTTAGAGTTTCTGCAGAAATTTTCCCAGATGGCCAATATATATATATATGAAAAGATGTTCACATCACTAATCATAAGAGGAATACAAATTAAAACCACAATGAGGTATCACCTCATACCAGCCAGAATGGCTGTTGTCCATAAAGTAAGAAACAATAAGTGTTGGCAAGGATATGGAGAAAAGGGAACCCTAGCACACTGTTGGTGGGAATGCAGATTGGTGTGAGCAATATGGAAAACAGTGTGGAGGTTCCTCAAAACATTAGACTTTATACTACTAGTTAATTTTTAAAATTTTACTTGAAAAAAAAACCCCAACTTTTAAATGAATGCTTTAGCTACGTCTCAAATCTGCCCAACTATTTCTTCTTTATAATAATAACTAGGATAAATACTTCACTAATCAACAATATAAAATATTCTTTTTTGAGCTTTTTTCTAGCCCCACTTCATAAAATTTATCAAAGATAGGACACATGTAGGTACATGAGATATTAAAAGGTATAAGTCAAAGTTGTTAAACATTGATAATGAGCTCCAACACATTTGGGCATTTAACGTTAGGTTAAAAACCTAAATAAAAAATAAATCTCCATCAAAGGCAGGAAAAAAGCAATAAATAAATAAGTTGTAAATTTATTTTGCTTACTGCCAGCTTCAGTAAAAAGGAAAATTTATTTACCGTTTATTAATATGCTCAATAATAAGCCAAATGTTGTAGAGATGTAAAGAAGTGACAACTGTCCCTGTTTCACAGAGGCCGCAATTTAGCTGAGCTGAAAAGACAAGTGGCCATAAAACAACCCAACAATTTGGGTGGCCTTGAATCTGGCTCATCCTTGTTCAAACAGTGCCCTCTAGATACCTTGAGAGTTGAGTTTACCGTGACTTGGCACCAACACCACTGCAGAATGCTTCACAGCCTGCTATCCTTGAGTGCTCTGCCAATGTTTCCCAAGCTGTAATCCACACAGCACTACTTCTGTAAGAGGTTAATAGGTGCTATACAAACAAGGGTTGTGTGGGCAAGGCCAGGAAATATAGCCCAATAATAGCTACATCATTTTATTCCCTACAAGAGTTTTACCCAGACTCCTAAACATTTTTTCTCTGCTTTCTAAAACTCCTTTTCTGTATTAAACACTCTTCCACATTCTCACCCTCAACAAAATGTGTCCTGCTCCTCCTTGTCATAAATGAAACCCTTTTCTCTTCTAAGAATATTACATCCCCTTTTTTCTCTAAGAGTACAGCTTCCTAAACTCCACCTCAGATAACAAGGGATTATAAATATTAATCTGTTATCTTTCTGCCATGAAAGCTTTGCTCAGGCTTAATTTTTTTCTTCAACTCAAGTGTTAGTATTATCTTGACTGATTTTCATGTTCATGTATATTTATCCACTGCTTTTTTTTTAAATTTTAAATTTAAAAAATTTAATCTTTATTATTGAAAGTATTACATATGCCCCCCTTTTCCCCCATTGACCCTTTCTGGCATGCACCTGCCCCCTGCCCCAGGCCTTCACCACACCACTGTCTGTGTCCATGGGTCATTCATACATGCATACAAGTTCTTTGTTGGATCTCTTCCCTCCCACCCATCCAGCCCCTCTGAGATTTCACAGTCTGTTCCATGCTTCTATGTCTCTGGATCTATTTTATCCATTAGATTCCACATATGAGTGAGATCATGTGATACTTGTCTTTCTCTGAGTGGCTTATTTTGCTTAGCAAAATACTCTCCCGGCCCCTCCATACTGTCTCAAAGGGTAAGAGATCCTTCTTTTTTATCGCTGCATACTATTCCATAGTGTAAATGTACCACAATTTATAATAGTTAAGATCTGGAAATAGCCCAAGTGCCCATCAGTAGATGAGTGGATATCCTCTGGTTTCAAAGTCCCTCCATCTCATATCTGGATATCTTCCCTCCACGTCACCTTCCCTAACCCAAAGACGGAGAACTCAGAATTGTCCTACGTCAGAAATCGTTGAATACAATGTTCAGTTCCCTAACAACAAACTCACCCCCTTTAGGCCCTTTCAATGTCCTTAACACTTCTTCTTAATTAGACATAGATCTCCATTTGCTCTAACTTTTCTCCGGGGTTTCTGGCCCCTCCTGATTCCCTTCCTGCCCTGCTCAGCTGGATTGCTGTCTTCTCAGTTCCCATGGACCCATGTCCTTCTGCTATTACTGCCCAACCAGACCTAACCCTGTATTATTTTGCACATGTGCAGCTGAACAACGCTGGAGAAATCATGACACTCTAGGAGTTGTGAGTATAAAACAAAGGTCCTTAACTTCAAATTTGGGCTTCTTGGTTTGTTTTCCTTTCTTCAAGTCCTCTCAAAGTTTTTTCAAAAAGTTCACCTCCCTTCTGTGTCATCCAGGAAAGTTATGTAATCTGGAATGAAGACCTTCTACTCCCCCTCACATAGAACCTACAAAGGTCTTCACCTGGACGTGTATTTACCTCTCATAGAGGGTGAGAGGCCCTCTCTCCTATCCAGGGGTGGGGACCCTTTTTTCTGCCAAGGGCCATTTGGATATTTATAACATCATTCGAGGGCCATGTGGAAAAGGCCATAAGAAATGGACTGATCTGTATAAAGTCTGTAGCTGGAGCCAATAGTATATCTCATCAATTGGGCTTGAGTTTGTGAGAGAAAGGGAGGCGTAAACAATGTTGACATTTTCTGTCCTGGGCCATTGTGGAGGTAAGGAAACAGGGAAGAGAAAATCTAGTGCCAATTAAGTAGAATGTACTTGGGGACATGATAAGTTTCAAAGGCATTTTAGACATGTTGGTGGAGG